TCTTCTCAGCCAGCACCCGCCCCCTTCTGCTCTCACAGATACCTATTTTTAGTACTCAGTGGTCACTTGAAGGTTCTTTTTTAAAAATCCTTCATTTGGTGAAAAGGCTCAGTGAGTAAAGGTGCTTGCAGGCAAGCCTGACACCCCGAGTTCAATCCCAGGGAACCCACATGGGAGAAGGAGGGAAGCCAGTCGCATAAGTTGCCCTGTGGCCTCCACACACATGCTGTGGCACATGCACACACACACACACACACACACACACACACACACACACACACACACATTGTAAATATAAAAATTAAAATCGTATATATACTTTCTGCTTTGTTCGCTGTCAGCTTCTTGGATCGCTGTCAGTCTAGCGCTGGTTTAGCATCTGCTTCTGACTTGGAGGGACTCAACCGCCTACAGTGTGGTCTGTGGATTGCTGCAGGTCTGGGTTGGCTGGAACTGAAGGTCACAGTTCCAGGCCTTAGGTTAAACATGAGCTAGTCTTCATAAGTGACTTCTCTTCTCGAAGGATAGCTGTTTTGTCTCTTTCCCAGAGTACATTTATGCCTTTTATCATATTCCTGTGAAGACCCAGTTTTTTTTTAAAGATTCTTAAAAAAAAAAAAAAAAAAAGATGGGGCTGGAGAGATGGCTCAGTGGTTAAGAGCACTGGCTGCTCTTCCAAAGGTCCTGAGTTCAATTCCCAGCAACCACATGGTGGCTCACAACCATTTGTAATGAGATCTGGTGCCCTGTTCTGGCCTGCAGGGATACATGCAGGCAGAACACTGTACACATAATAAATAAATCTTTAAAAAAAATCCTCAACTCCCTCAAAGTTAAGAAAAAAAAATCAACCTCCTAAAACTTAAGAAAACAAAGATATATTCGTTTTCATTTTATGTGTATGAGACTTTGCTGCTTATATATGTGTACCACAGGCCAGAAGAGGGTGTCTGATCTGCAGGGGAGTTACAGACCATTGTGAATCTCCATGTGGGTGCTGGGAAATGAACACAAGTCCTCTGTATGAGCAGCAAGTGCTCTTAACCACTGAGCCATCACTTCAGCCCCCCCTTTGAATAGTTTTTAAAAGATGAATTCCCCTCGACCCTCAGAGGGAATTGTGAGGATTAATATTTCAGCCCCTCCAATCATCTTGCCATTAGCTGGAAGTAATTTTTTTCAACCTGATTCCTTTATGTCTGTTTGCAGAGAGTGCATCTTCTAGCTTCAAAGATCACCTTCTGACAAGGCCCCATTTGAAGTCTTTCAGTAACTTAAATGGGACCTTTAGGGTAGTTCTACTGGGGGTGGCAACAGCTGAATCTTGTCTATTACACACACACATACACACACACACACACACACACACACACACACACACACACGCACACGCACACGCACACGCACGCACAAGTCTCAGTGTAGACACATCCCAGCAGCCTTGATCAAAACTTTTTTTTTTTTTTTTTTTTTTGGTTTTTCGAGACAGGGTTTCTCTGTGTAGCTTTGCGCCTTTCCTGGAACTCGCTTTGGAGACCAGGCTGGCCTCGAACTCACAGAGATCCGCCTGGCTCTGCCTCCCGAGTGCTGGGATTAAAGGCGTGCGCCACCACCGCCCGGCGATCAAAACTTTTGACAGACCAATTTTCTCCTTTTGTTGTCTGTTGTTCCTCTCTTCCCTCCCTCCTTCCCTCCCAACCTTCTTTTCCTCTTGCAGATGGTTTCACTGTATTGTGCAGTCCAGTCTTGAACTCCTGAGCTCCAGTGGTCCTCTTGCTGATGTACGTGTGTAGGCCCATGGTCAATGTCAGGTGTCTTTTCTCAATCTTTCTCTACCTTTACGTTTTGAGACAGGGTCTCTCACTGGAATTGAAGCTCAGGAGGGCTGGCCACAGGCTTCAGGGATCCACCTGTCTCCGCCCTGCACCAAAGCTGGGGTTACAGGCACACACCACTATGCTGGGCCTTTTTTGGTGGGTTATGGGGATCCGAACTCAGGGCCTTGTGCTCGTATGGCAGGTACTTTACCAATGAGCCATCTCCCCAAGTCCCAAACTTTTCTTTCTTTCTGATTTGGTGGGTTCATCCCTGGAGTTTTCCGTTTTTGTTTTTTCTTCTTTTTGCTTATCTTAGCAGTTCTTGGTTTTCTGCTGTCTGTGATCTCAAAGGCAATTGTTGTAGGCTTATTGTCTTTGTTGTTGTGACATTGTCCTTTTGGTCCTGCAATGGACTTGGGGCTGCTTCTGTCACCATCCTGAAGTTCACCTTGCAGCTTCCAAGTCACACTGGCTGTTTTTGAGATTGGCGTGTGGCACTCTGAGCGTTTTTGTCAGGAGGAAACAGCCTGCCGTTTTGCATTTCTTTTTTTTTTTGAGCTGAGGATGGAACCCAGGGCCAGCAGAGTTACATGGGAGACCTGAACTCGAGATCTTTGCTGGAAATTCCACGGCACAGCCCTAGGAGGCACTTACTACATCATAGGGGTCTTGCATTAGTTGGGGTTACTATTGCTGCGATGAAACACCAATACCAAAAGCAACTTGGGGAGGAAAGGGTTTATTTCACTCATGGTTCCATATAACATGTTCATCATCAAAAGCAGTGAGGGCAGGAACTCAAGCAGAACAGGAACCTGAATGCAGGCAGGAGCTGATGCAGAGGCCGTTGAGAGGTGCTGCTTACGGCCTTGTTTCCCATAGCTTGCTCAGCCTGCTTTCTTATAGAACCCAGAACCACCAACCCAGGGATGGCTCCACCCACAATGGGCTGGGCCCTCCCCCATCAAACATTAATTAAGGAAATGCCTTACAGGCTTGCCTACAGCCTGATCTTATTCTCAATTGAGGTTCCCTCCTCTCAGATAACTTTAGCTGGATCAAATTGACATAAAACTAGCCAGCACAGGTCTAAAGCACTCATCATGGGAGAGATGCTCTCTTGGGTCTCTGTGACATAACCTAAGAAAAGTTCATACACAGGAAAGCACAAGACTCTTAAGAAGCCAAGTCAAGTGGTGTGCCTTAAATGTTTAACAGATAACACTCAATAAAGGGTCTGTCTGTCTGTCTATGAATATGTCTAGATGTCTATATGTATAGCTTTTCTTTTCTTTTTCTTTTTCTTTTTATTTTTTTTGGTTTTCCGAGACAGGGTTTCTCTGTGTAGTTTTGCGCCTTTCCTGGATCTCGCTTTGGAGACCAGGCTGGCCTCGAACTCACAGAGATTCGCCTGCCTCTGCCTCCCAAGTGCTGGGACTAAAGGCGTGCGCACCACCGCCCGGCTAGCTTTTCTTTTAAATAGGTGTTACAAAGAGTTTGTGAATTGTATTCCACTTAGGAACTTTAAAATATCCAAATTTGGGGCTGGGGTGGGATGAGGTAGAGGTCAATGGGTAAAGCGTTTGTGTGTGAGTGCAGATCCGAGTTCCCATGCCCCGCACTCACATAAAAGCTAGGCACAGTGGAGGACATCTGTAGCCCCAGTGAGTTCCAGGTTCAGTTAGAGACTCTGTCTCAAAAAACAAATGAAGGGGGGTGGGGAAGGTGGAGAGTGACAGAGAACTCTCGACACCTCCTTTGCCTCCACACCTGCACACACAATCTACACACATGCATAGACCTCCACCACTCCCCACCCAAAAACGTCCAGATCTTTTCCTTTCCCATGTTCCCTAGAAAGCTGTAGTAATGAGAAAAAGCCAAGGAGTGGGAGTTCTCTTGGCAGCGACGAGGTAGCAAAGAAATAAGCCGCAAGGATGTGTGATGTGGAATTCTTTGTGACCCAGGAAGACACTTGGAAGTCTAAATGTTTGTTAATAGGCTTCTGGTTGAGTGCGTGGTGTTCAATCTACAGAATAAATTCAGGGGGAGGCTATTAGAGAGAGAGAATTGAGTCACAGATACTCATATGAAACAATTTCTAAGAAATATTGTTCACTGGAAAAGCAAGGGACAAAACCGTAGCTAGAAAGGTTGTTTTTTTTTTTTTTTTATTTCAAAGACACCATACTTATGTACAGGTATGAAAATATAACTAGAAACTCCTGGAGAAAATTTGCAAGCAGCTGTTACACATGGTTACCTCTGGACAGTGGAGGCATGTGCTTTTGGATTCTTTGGATATTTTATTGAATGCCCAAATTGCTCTTTCAGCTATAAAAAAATTCTAATAAATAACATAAGCTAAAAGCAACATCCTGACCACAGGTACAAGGTTCTCTCTGGTGGTAGACCGCATCGACACCCCTTCTCTGCATCTTGGGCTCTCTCTCCCGGTAGCCAGGACCTTGGGGACCGTGAAGGTGGGACAGAAATAGAGTTGGAGCAGCCTTAGCTGCACTTGTCCCCCAGGTGTACATTTTATTCAATTAGTTTTATATTTATGTGCATGAGCATTTTTCTTCCATGTATGTATATGCATGAGCATGTTTGATGCCTGTAGAGGTCAGAAGAGCGAGTTGGATCCTCTGGAACCGGAGGTAGTCAGTTGTGAGCCTCCATGTGGGTCCTGAGAATCAAACTCAGGTCCTCTGCAAGAGCAGCCGTGCTCTTAACCATGGAGCCACCTCTCTAGTCCCAGGTTTTTTAAATTTAAATTTATATTTTTAGATGGTTTCAGTATGTATTACTGTCTGGCCAACCTCAAACTCATCTCTGTGCCTGCTTCTGCCTCCTTCGTGCTGGGATTAAAGGTGTGTGCCCCCACAGCTAGCTTAAAATCTGTAGCCCTGGCCAGAATTCACCGTCTTCTTACTTCAGCCCCTTCAGCATATCTACCAGTATGTGCTGCTACAATGGACTCCTTTCCTTCCTTCCTTCCTTCCTTCCTTCCTTCCTTCCTCCCTCCCTCCCTCCCTCCCTCCCTCCCTCCCTCCCTCCCTCCCTTCCTTCCTTCTTTCTTTTTTTAAAAAATTTATTTTGCATGTTTGTGTGTGTGTGTGTGTGTGTGTGTGTGTGTGTGTGCGCGCGCACGCGTGTGCGCGTGCGCGTGCTGCTCAGAGGTTGATAGCAGGTGTTTCCTTCAATCACCCTTCACTTTATATACTGAGGCAGGATCTCTTTCCTTAAACTCAGAGCTCACCAGTTTACCAATTTGGCTACTCTAGTTAACCAACTTGTTCCAGGAAGCTTGGTCTCTTCCCATGAAACAGTATGATGAGTGGGCCACTCTGCTCATTCAGTGTTTTGGGGGGTTCTGGGGACCTAAATTCCAGCCTTCATACTTTCATAGCAAATGCTTTGCCCCCAAGCCATCTCCCAGCCCCTGCTCTGTGTTTATTACTTGCAGTGCATTAAGAATGGATTGCTAAATGCTCATCCTTCTCCACCAAGTTGTTTTAATTGTCCATCAGTTCAAGGGAGTGAGAGGAACTCTCTTCTCTACTGTTGGTGTTGCAGGCAGGAACATGAGCCGACTAGACACAAGTAGCAACTGCTCGTTCGATGCCGTGGATAAGCTGATGAGTACCTTGCAGCTGGCCGTCCACATCCCAACCTTCCTCCTCGGCCTGGTCCTCAATCTCTTGGCCATCAGAGGCTTCAGCACCTTCCTGAAGAAGCGGCAGCTGGAATACATGGCCACTTCCATCTACATGATTAACTTGGCTGTCTTCGACCTGCTGCTTGTGCTCTCGCTCCCATTCAAGATGGCCCTGCCGCAGGTGGAATCCCCTTCCTCAGTCCTCTGCACTCTGGTGGAGTGCCTCTACTTCATCAGCATGTACGGGAGTGTCTTCACCATCTGCTTCATCAGCCTGGACAGGTTCCTAGCCATCCAGTACCCACTCCTGGTCAGCCACCTCCGGTCCCCCAGGAAAACCTTTGGGATCTGCTGCATCCTCTGGGTCCTGGTATGGATTGGAAGCATCCCTATCTACACTTTCCACAGGGAGGAGAAATACAAATGCTTCCACAACATGTCTGACAGCACCTGGAGTGCCAAGGTCTTCTTCCCCCTGGAGATCTTTGGCTTCCTCCTTCCCATGGGCATCATGGGCTTTTGTTCCTATAGGAGCATTCACATTCTGCTGGGCCGCTCGGACTACACCCAGAGAGCCTGCATCTGGACCATTGCTACCAACCTTGTCATCTTCGTGGTCTCCTTCCTCCCAGTGCACTTGGGTTTCTTCCTGCAGTACCTGGTGAGGAACGGCTTCATCTCGGAGTGCAGGGTCAAGCAGAGCATCAGCCTGTTCCTGCAGCTGTCCCTGTGTTTCTCCAACATCAACTGCTGCCTTGACGTTTTCTGCTATTACTTTGTCATCAAAGAATTCCGCATGGGCATCAAGGCCCACCGGCCCTCCACAGTCCAGCTGGTCCACCAGGACACCACAAGCAGCAGGGGTTAAGGGAAGGGACCCCTCTCAAGGGAAGGAAATCCCGATCCCAAATTCTCATAAGGAACATCCAGTGCTTCTTTGACACTCGCTAAGTACCAACTTTGTTCTTTATACCCCTAAGACCTTTCCACAGCACCTGGACGCCTGACATATGTCACGCTTGTTTGGGGTTTGCTAAAGAACCAGGTGACTTCTTCATTTCTAAGTCCAAAATGTGTGAAGCAGAAGAATCGAAAAAGAAAATGTCACTTTAAAAGTCTGTTTCTCAGCTTTCCCGTCTTTCCGTTCTGTTGGAAGAGTCCAGAAGGGAAGAGAGGGATGGAGAAAGGATTAGGGCAGGGAATCAAGAGCATTTTGGTGGAGATACAGGGATGGAGAAATATGCCTTCAAGATGGAGAGAGCTTACACTTCTTCTCCAGACCCTTCTGAAGCTCTGTTGACAATGACCTCACAGAAATCATGACAAAGAGGGCTTTTAGGGGCTGAGCAAATTCCCTTCCGGCCCTAGAAAGGCACAAGAGGCCAGCCAAACCTCCTCATGCCCCTGAGGAGGATTAGGTGGAGGGAGGGGGCTGTGTGAAGCAGGTCATGGGGAATCAGGAGTCACTGTGGGGCCAATGGGGGCAGAGTGGGAAGGAACTAGAAAATACCCAGGGAAGGAAAGAGACACAAGGAGCTGGAACTGGACGTCCCCTCTCCTGCTGCTATCCAGTAGTAGTGCTATCCCAGGGCTAAGATAGCCTAGAAATAATAGCTGTCTTGAAGGTGACCAGCCTTCTATCTTGGACAGCCTTGAACTAGTTCATCAGACCAATATGAAGGGGATGAGAGAGGATTGGTCTTAACTCGGGTCAGCCATAGCAGCATGAAGAAGCTGTCCTTATTGGGTCCTTGTTGGGCAGCTGGCACTGGTGACACCGTCTAGGACGCTGGCCAGGAACTGGAGGGGAGGAGGGGGCTTTCTTCACTGGGCAGCACAAAGCCTGGATTGGAGGAGGGTGGTGATCTCCGGCCGCCCGCCGGTTCCTGGAGGGAAGCTGTAGACAGCTGAATCAGTGTTGGAGCTTCAGCGGCTCTTCTCACCCTGGGGCGGGAGATCACAGTGACAGCTGACAGCCTGGCTTGCGATGACTCAGCTGCTCCAGAGAGTGAAGTGATAGAAGGATAAATTGTGGGGTGTTTTTGCAAGACGGAAGGAGTGGGATGAGAAGAAACCCATGAGACTTCACATGAATAAGACACAGGTCTTTAGGAAGAGACACGGGCAGCCGCAGCCCTAACTAACAGATCCCACAGGATAAGAGGCTGGGCGAGGGGTGGAGACATGGGGAAGAATGGGGGAAGACAGAGGTGTGGCTCTAATCCGGCATCTACCCACAGAGCAGAAGCTGGAGGTGAGCAAGGATGTAGGAGGGAGGGAGAGGAGGGAAGGAAAAGGAGGAGAGGAGGAAGGGAGATGGGCAGGAAGGGCTGAGCCAGGGAGGGATAGGAAAGGTGAGGAGTGAGGGTAGAGGCCCAGCAGCTTCCACCTGAGAATCTGTCATTCCCCTTGGATTGGAGACCCTGGAAGGGCAGGTACTTCCAGGCCAGGGTGGCTGTGGCAGTGTTTAGGTGGCACTGTGGAGCCACCTGTGGGCCACTGAAGGAAGAGTTAAGGAAGAGAATTAAGGAGGAGTGAGCTTTCTAGGACCGGAGTCCCACCTCAGGGCTGGGCCTCCGGGAATGAGGGTCCCAGCCTTGGGTGCTGTTTTCTCACACCAGAGATACCATGCATCACACTGAGACAGCCTGACTGTCACCTACAGCAGAGCATTTGGGGCCGCTTTGGGTTAGTCCATGACTGGGTAGGTCTTGGGACCACCTTCTCCAGGTTCTCTCTGTTTACAGAGCTGTTAGCCCACCCACAGTCAAATAGTGTGCAAGTCTGCCTGCCAGGCAGGCTTCCCCCAGCAAAGGCTTAGCAAGCCTGACTACCCACCATCCCCATCGACGACCCAAGCTAAAACCTGGTGTGTGTCTAGCAAGACTCTATGGTGGGAAGGGCTTCGTGTCCCCAAGAGGACCATTACCAAAAGGGCAGGGAGTCTAGAGCCATAAACTGAGCAACGGTAAGGACAAGGTCCCTGGAGGGGTACAGCAGTGTCAGATTGGTGTGGTGACTCTGGACCTGGAGATAGGGAAGAACAGGACTTGAGAACGCCCTGATTCATTCCAAAATAGTGAGTGAAGGGAAGGCAATTCTTGACTTTTCCCTTGGAGACTTACTTGGGTGTGTCCAGACTCAGGTCATCAGTCCTATGGGTCCTCAACTGGCAATTGGCCCAGCAGTACAGGAAATGGGAGGGCCAGTGTTAGAGTTGGCATGCAGCAGATTGCCACCAGTGAGTGAGGGAAATCTAGGACTTAGTTGTGGAAAAAGCCCAGATTCCTGTTACTAACTAATTAGAAGCTATTGTTTAACCATGAATATGACCTTATTTGTACCCGGGCTGGAAAACATTAGCCAAATGTACAGTTGTGAAATCTAGCAAAATTAATTGGAAAACCAATTTAACATGATTTACCAAATAAATAATTTCATTCAATGCATTATGACCTTGTCTTGGGCTTCAATTTCTGGTTCCAGAGAAGAACCGGTTTCTCATGGCCCCTGCTAAGGGATTCAACAATCTTGGTCCCTTTACCAGCCCCTGGGCCCCAAGTATGATGTCATAGAGTACCTATCTCAGGTGTGCAGCTGGTCCTCCCAATTCGTTAGGAGCTAGACCCTAGGGGGTCTAGCTGGGGGCGGGGGTGTCTAGTGGCAGTCACGTGGGTGCTCGGTTGTCTGCGGTAGCCACTGAGTCTCACAGACCGCACACACCTGGCCCCAGTCCTCTTCAGCTGCTCCTCCATCTTGTCCCACACAACACTGGCTCTGTGTACGAGGGGCCTAGCCCAAGAGGCCTTTTGACCGCACGTCCTCCAATGGTAATGCTTCCTTCTCTGGCCAGTTACAGTATAGGTCTACCTTTCCTCATGGGGAACTCCTCCTCACCTACCACAGCCCCTGACAGGCATGGCCCGATAGGTTTAGGCCTAACTACTTTTTCCTAAGTACCTCAAGTTCCAAGACATGACCCGGACGTGGAAAGCTGACCAGGGACCTCCTCATTCCTTAGCAGTCATTTTTCTGTTAACCCTAGTTACCTCATGGCTATCCCCTTGGCTGCCAGAGGATTTCACTGGAGAAGTCAGTCATGTCCCTTATGCGGACCATTCACACTTGTCAGCTACATTCCTCACGAGTCCCCCCCCTGAGAACCCTTTGAAGATGAGGTCATTACAGTAATACAGTGGAGATGCCCTGGGTTCCTGAGAACGCCCACAGGAAGATTCTATCCTCTAGAAAGTTACCATGAATCACCAGTAATTTCAAAGATGCTTGAAATGACTGTAGGCTCAGTAGCAGCTGCAGAGACGCTCGAGGATTAGAAAGGATTGGTTTAACAGATCGGCGGCGAGGAAAAGACAGGGTGAGTTTTCTAGCCAGGGATGAAAAGAGTGCCAACCAAGCAGGACCCATGTGGAGATGCCACCTGTAAGGTCTTCCATGGTCCTCAGAGGGCTAGCTACACTGTGGACAACATCCTTCGGGGGCCACAGAGAGGCTGGCTGAGGCCACTGTGAGAATCCCATTCTGAGGACAGGGGAGTCAGGGACTCAAGAAAGTTGGACTTGAGGTGCACGCCCCTGACACTACCACCATAGCACCTCTCGCTTTTCAGCAGTGCCTCTTGGCAAGCCAGGGCAGAGCTGCCGTGAGTGCTGAAGGAAGGTGGAGCACAGTGGGGGTGAGCACAGTACGGGCCTCCCCCTCCTCCCTCTGTGAACAGTGCTGGGGGAGGGACCTTCCCCGAGCTACTGCAGAAGTGAGGCCCCCATCCTTTGATGTCTGCAAAGGAAAGACTTCAAAGGAGTGCTGGTGGGAACACCCTGAGATCACCTCTGAGGCCCCAGGCTGCGCCTTTGCTCCAAGGCAGTCACCTGAGAACTACAACCGCGCTTGTCTGCACAAGGCGCAATGCCGTCACGGGGTGGGAGGAGGTGCGAGAGTGTGGAGGGGGGTTTACAGCGCAGTCACAAAAAGAGGCTATTTAGTGATCTGCAGAGTGTGGTTCTATAAAGAGCCCCTCTTTCTAACGATGGCTTTGGACGTTCACACATACCCCGATGTTTCCCACCCAAGTCCCATCTTGGAAAAGGTTGATAGTGAGGAGGCGAGGCACTTAGGGCCGTTGTTCAGGGATAAGCCAACCCTGACTAAACCTGAGGATCTGATCGCAAGAGCTGATTCTCACAGGCAGCACCTCTCGCACAAGCTGGGCCTGCCCAACAGATGGATGCAAGGGACCCAGCGCTGGTGGCCAGGGTCCAGGGAGAAGACAGTGTTCCTCCCCTTCCCTCTCCAGCAGAGAGGGCCTAGAAGCCAGGGGCTCTAGGATGGTTAGGGAAGGGTCTAGATAGGTTTCAGGGTAGGGAATATTTTTTGGAGTGGGACTCCAGTAGCATCTGGTAGGAGGAGACACCCCCATAAACACACATGATAGGCTGCTGCTCCTAGGTGCTGGGAAGGACCTTTCCAGCTGCAGGAAGCCTCTGCCCTATTCTTCCACACACACACACACACACACACACACACACACACACACACACACCCTGCCCCCCCCCCCCTTAAGGGGCAGCTGGAGCTTTGCTTTCACTAAAGGCAATCAGGGACAATCACTTGCTGTGAAGTGGGGCAGGGGCAGGTACCAAAACACGGCTGCTTGGTGCTTGGTGCTTGGTAGACTTGCCTGCACTTGCTGGACCAGAGGGTCAGAAACATTTCAGACCTAAGCAGGCAGATGGGCTTCCGGCATTCCTGGAAGGTGGCATCAGGCTTGCATCCGTTGAGTGTTCTAGACAATTAAACTCCAGAGGCTGGGATGTTTAAGTCATTGGGACAAACACAGATGAAGGGTGATGATTAACAGAGCTTGGCTGTTGGTATTGCCTCCCCGGAATTTCATTCTGCAGAGTGCTCAGATACCAGATATCAGCCAAGGACTGATGGAGTGCAGGAGACACCCACTTAAGTGGCAGAAAAACATTTGTCACCATCGTGGAGGCTGAATGTGCAAGGTCTGGCCAGGCCCATGTCTAGTGAGAACTCTCTCCTTGGCTGTACATGTTTGCTTTTTACTGTATCCACACATGGCAGAGAGAAAACAAGCTTTCTGGAACCTTCTGATAAGGATACCGTTCTGTTTGGTCAGACTCCACTGTTAGGGTTTCATTTTACCTTCATTGCCCCCCTAAAAGTCCAGAGTTGGTGGAAACATTCAGTCCGCATGCCTTCTGCTCTGGGAACTTGAATAGAACATATGTGCTCCCTCTTGTTCCTCAAGCTGAATACACCCAGCTCTGAGCTTCATGACGTTTTACAGAGACATGTCACCTCTGGGAATCCTGCATGAATTCTAGCAAGAGAGGGCTCCTTAGGACCTGAAGAGACAGCTCAGTGGTGAAGAGTGCTTGCTGCTCTTGCAGAGGACGTGAGTTCAGTTCCCAGAACCTACATAGGGTGGCTCACAACACACACAAATAAAAGGAAAATAAATCTTTAAAACTAAGTGGGGGTGGCTGGAGAGATGGCCCAGCAGTTAAGAATACTTGCTGCTCTTCTAGAAGACGTAGGTTTGATTCCCAGTGACCACACGGTGGCTCACAGCAGTCTGGAAGGCTAGTCCTATGTGATCCGTCCGATGCCCTCTTCTGGCCTTCTCAAGAACTGCAAGCACATGATGCAAAGCACCCAGACACAAATAAAATTAAATAAATAAAAAGGGTCCTTATTTTTGAAATAGTGGGGAGGGGTCACAGATCCAGTGCCCAGTGCCAGGCCTGTGAATGAAGACTTCCATGTTACAGGGTTACAAGGCTTTCTCCTACAGTTCTCATAGGGTTGCCAGCTGCCTCTCCCACCAGCTCAAATGTCTCTTCAGAGGGCCCACAGCAAAAACATGCCTTGGAGACTGGCCACCTTCCCTGGACCACTGCCAGGCCTTCTCCCCACAGATCCTATGACACTTACTCCATCTGGATCTGGGGTTCCAAAGCCTGGCTTCCTCCAAGACAAGGAGAAGCCTGGAGATGTCCAAAGTGGATGGTTTTAGCATCCATCCTTGTAATCATGATCCTTGAGGAGAAAATGGAACCGCGGTGTCAGGATGGCGTGAGGAAGCTCCAACATCTTCAGTCGAAATAACTGGCATTTGTGTTTCCTGGGCAAATGCCGCGTCTACTCCTGAATGGGACAAGAAGGACAGAAGAGGGGGCTTGCCGCTCTCTGAGGCACCCATGGTTTCTGAAGAGGGAAGAATAGGGTGACTGGGAGCCCCTCCTGCCGTAGGCTTGGCTTGTGGCGTCTGCAATAGTGCCGTACCACCTTCCTTTCCAGTGGGTTAGTGGAGGGCCCAGCAGTCTAGCCCTTTAAAAGATGGAACAGGAACCACCCCTCTCATCCGCACTGTTACGTGGGCATCCACTGGCATCCTGGGGTCTTTGGTGTGAGCAGCAGGACTGTGGGGTTCTGGTCTGAAGCCTATAGCCCCTCTTGTTGCACACCTACTTCCCCTCTCCCCTGAAGAGGTCCTGCCTGGAGCCTCAAGGGTGACACCTTCTGACCGCACGGAGAAGCCATAGCTCATCCTTCTTCAGGGGTCAGCAAGCAAAGCTGAACTTCCCTTTGGACGCTTTGGACTAATGAGGACCCTGGAAATTTTGAATCATTTGGGGACAGTCTGAAGAACAGACTAAAGCAATGAATTTCAGCAATACAATCAATGTGAGGACTTTTGTAATCTAAGTCAGTGAGAAGGTCACCCTAGTCACACTGTCTTCTTTATACATGATATTTATTAATCTTTGTCTCCTCCTAGGAGCTGATGTCATCAAAAATTCCACCCTCCCGGGATGTCCTTACCTGACCTGCTGTGAAAGTCCCTGGGGACCCCTAATTGCCAGAGTATCTCCAAGGCCCACCCACTCCCAGCAGAGGCTGCCTTTGGCATAGCTGTGAATTCAGAGTCACTACCTTCTGATCCCTTCCTTCGGTCCTTCCTACTCCATTGTTTTCTGAGGAAGGGGGTGGCGTGCAAAGCTATCATTCAAAGGAAACACTAAGAGTGAAACACCTGTGGAAATAGCCCCCCTCTTCCTCAGAAGTTTAATAAGCAGGATGTACCAGTGAGCTACTGCGTCCGTGGCAAGCTAGGCTGCAGCTGAAATAATCAAACTCAGAAGGAGGGCAGCATGGGGGAGTTGAGGGGGGGGCTGTCTCCAGCAGCTGGTGCAACCAGGACACATTTTACATTGTTAAGCATCCTTTCCCATGTCCTGCCGTCAGAAAGTTATCAAGCTCTAGCCTTTTTAGTTGTCCTTTGGGTGAGAAAGAATCTGGAGTGTTTGCCCAGGAAACAAGACCCCAAAGACGGATGCTCTGAGAGGTTGAGGAACCTTAGACTCCCCCACACTCCCAAAGTTCAGGTCCCTCTGACCTTGCATTTCCATCAAATCTACTCATATAACACAATAGACTTGTCATACACCATGTCCTCTTTCAGTCCCATAGAGAATCATTTACAAGCCACTGTTTCATGGCTCATGAGACTTTGTCCTGGGCCTTTGTGTATGTTCAAAGCTCATTAGGTTCCACCTAAAAGCCATGTATGAGTCACCTCAAAGTTGCCTGAACTCTCATCTCCCCAACAGGAGTGGGGTATGCCT